GTGCGTAGGGAGGGAGGGAGGGAGGGAGGGAGGGAGGGAGGGAGGGAGGGAGGGAGGGAGGGAGGGAGGGAGGGAGGGAGGGAGGGAGGGAGGGAGGGAGGGAGGGAGGGAGGGAGGGAGGGAGGGAGGGAGGGAGGGAGGGAGGGAGGGAGGGAGGGAGGGAGGGAGGGAGGGAGGGAGAGAGAGAGAGAGAGAGAGAGAGAGAGAGAGAGAGAGAGAGAGAGAGAGAGAGAGAGAGAGAGAGAGAGAGAGAGAGAGAGAGAGAGAGAGAGAGAGAGAGAGAGAGAGAGAGAGAGAGAGAGAGAGAGAGAGAGAGAGAGAGAGAGAGAGAGAGAGAGAGAGAGAGAGAGAGAGAGAGAGAGAGAGAGAGAGAGAGAGAGAGAGAGAGAGAGAGAGAGAGAGAGAGAGAGAGAGAGAGAGAGAGAGAGAGAGAGAGAGAGAGAGAGAGAGAGAGAGAGAGAGAGAGAGAGAGAGAGAGAGAGAGAGAGAGAGAGAGAGAGAGAGAGAGAGAGAGAGAGAGAGAGAGAGAGAGAGAGAGAGAGAGAGAGAGAGAGAGAGAGAGAGAGAGAGAGAGAGAGAGAGAGAGAGAGAGAGAGAGAGAGAGAGAGAGAGAGAGAGAGAGAGAGAGAGAGAGAGAGAGAGAGAGAGAGAGAGAGAGAGAGAGAGAGAGAGAGAGAGAGAGAGAGAGAGAGAGAGAGAGAGAGAGAGAGAGAGAGAGAGAGAGAGAGAGAGAGAGAGAGAGAGAGAGAGAGAGAGAGAGAGAGAGAGAGAGAGAGAGAGAGAGAGAGAGAGAGAGAGAGAGAGAGAGAGAGAGAGAGAGAGAGAGAGAGAGAGAGAGAGAGAGAGAGAGAGAGAGAGAGAGAGAGAGAGAGAGAGAGAGAGAGAGAGAGAGAGAGAGAGAGAGAGAGAGAGAGAGAGAGAGAGAGAGAGAGAGAGAGAGAGAGAGAGAGAGAGAGAGAGAGAGAGAGAGAGAGAGAGAGAGAGAGAGAGAGAGAGAGAGAGAGAGAGAGAGAGAGAGAGAGAGAGAGAGAGAGAGAGAGAGAGAGAGAGAGAGAGAGAGAGAGAGAGAGAGAGAGAGAGAGAGAGAGAGAGAGAGAGAGAGAGAGAGAGAGAGAGAGAGAGAGAGAGAGAGAGAGAGAGAGAGAGAGAGAGAGAGAGAGAGAGAGAGAGAGAGAGAGAGAGAGAGAGAGAGAGAGAGAGAGAGAGAGAGAGAGAGAGAGAGAGAGAGAGAGAGAGAGAGAGAGAGAGAGAGAGAGAGAGAGAGAGAGAGAGAGAGAGAGAGAGAGAGAGAGAGAGAGAGAGAGAGAGAGAGAGAGAGAGAGAGAGAGAGAGAGAGAGAGAGAGAGAGAGAGAGAGAGAGAGAGAGAGAGAGAGAGAGAGAGAGAGAGAGAGAGAGAGAGAGAGAGAGAGAGAGAGAGAGAGAGAGAGAGAGAGAGAGAGAGAGAGAGAGAGAGAGAGAGAGAGAGAGAGAGAGAGAGAGAGAGAGAGAGAGAGAGAGAGAGAGAGAGAGAGAGAGAGAGAGAGAGAGAGAGAGAGAGAGAGAGAGAGAGAGAGAGAGAGAGAGAGAGAGAGAGAGAGAGAGAGAGAGAGAGAGAGAGAGAGAGAGAGAGAGAGAGAGAGAGAGAGAGAGAGAGAGAGAGAGAGAGAGAGAGAGAGAGAGAGAGAGAGAGAGAGAGAGAGAGAGAGAGAGAGAGAGAGAGAGAGAGAGAGAGAGAGAGAGAGAGAGAGAGAGAGAGAGAGAGAGAGAGAGAGAGAGAGAGAGAGAGAGAGAGAGAGAGAGAGAGAGAGAGAGAGAGAGAGAGAGAGAGAGAGAGAGAGAGAGAGAGAGAGAGAGAGAGAGAGAGAGAGAGAGAGAGAGAGAGAGAGAGAGAGAGAGAGAGAGAGAGAGAGAGAGAGAGAGAGAGAGAGAGAGAGAGAGAGAGAGAGAGAGAGAGAGAGAGAGAGAGAGAGAGAGAGAGAGAGAGAGAGAGAGAGAGAGAGAGAGAGAGAGAGAGAGAGAGAGAGAGAGAGAGAGAGAGAGAGAGAGAGAGAGAGAGAGAGAGAGAGAGAGAGAGAGAGAGAGAGAGAGAGAGAGAGAGAGAGAGAGAGAGAGAGAGAGAGAGAGAGAGAGAGAGAGAGAGAGAGAGAGAGAGAGAGAGAGAGAGAGAGAGAGAGAGAGAGAGAGAGAGAGAGAGAGAGAGAGAGAGAGAGAGAGAGAGAGAGAGAGAGAGAGAGAGAGAGAGAGAGAGAGAGAGAGAGAGAGAGAGAGAGAGAGAGAGAGAGAGAGAGAGAGAGAGAGAGAGAGAGAGAGAGAGAGAGAGAGAGAGAGAGAGAGAGAGAGAGAGAGAGAGAGAGAGAGAGAGAGAGAGAGAGAGAGAGAGAGAGAGAGAGAGAGAGAGAGAGAGAGAGAGAGAGAGAGAGAGAGAGAGAGAGAGAGAGAGAGAGAGAGAGAGAGAGAGAGAGAGAGAGAGAGAGAGAGAGAGAGAGTGTTAAGATCATAATTAGTTCGAGTTTGTATTTCTTCAGGTATAATAATTGTTAGAAAAAATATATATCCCTGTGACAAAATATATAGATAAACATCCTTTTCGTTTCATCGTTACAGACCTTAAGACGTTTTAAATGCAGCGCCAGTAATAAAAGTAAAAAAAATATATATATATATATATTAGTACAAGCCCTATAATATAAATAGCTGCCCAGTAATGACAACGGTAGTATTGATAGCAAGGATGATGGTTTTAATGATAAGTCAATGGTGAAAGATATGAAATGATGACAACGAGACGATCATATTGATGATAACAGTAGTAATGATAATTGCAAAATTAATCATGAAACACACACGCACGCACGCACACACACACACACACACACACACACACACACACACACACACACACACACACACACACACACACACACGCACGCACGCACGCACGCACGCACACACGTAGAATGATATTTTGAAGATATTTATCCCACCCTAGTTATGACTCTGAAACGTTTAAAACCCTCACCATTTTATCAGGAAACTATAAATCCTTATCTGAGACTACATGGAACTATCTGGAAAGTATCGCCCCTGATTGGCCGGCCAGAGCGTATCACAATGTTACAAGGTAGAGGCATACACATTGATACAAACCGAAGAGATGTTTCAACAGGTTCCAATGACGTGTGCGTAAAAGGTACACATGGATCGATATATCAAAATGTTAGGTTTAGGAAATGCTACTAAAAATGGTCTTAACAGTCCAAAGACCTAATGGACGCAAATATCCATTCGAAACAAAACAATTGCTTAAAACATGATTGTAACTTAAAAATCAAAAGCAATAGCCCAAAAGAGAAGGCTGTTGACTCATTATACATGCCATTAAGCAACTTTAGTCTGTCACGCACCTACCGAAAATTGCACAACGGGTCAAGTGCTCCTTTTGCAGTTTCGAGACAATTCGAGACCGTTGGTTGATAATCTCTTGTTCGGACTCCCTCTGCCAGCCTTCGAAATGATGAGTTGTCCTAAAAAAAAACCTTTAGTGGTCTTCTGCAGCACAACAAATATGTTGATATCGTGCGTAGACCGTCTATGCAACAGTCATTCCAAGTTGCCGAGAATGATCACCACTGAGGCGCACGACCACACTCGTCCCCGAACCAAATCCTATGACGACAAGGCTTCCTCTCACTGGCCAGCTAACTCCTGACCAAAGTCGTACATTACTTTGTTGCGTTTCTTTTACATGGCGTTGGAGGTAATACTACTTTTAGGAGTAGAGGAAGCTAAGAAGGATTCAGGAACACCATCACAATGATTACAAATACTGAATGTTTACCCTAACAAAATTACGAACGCATTCATCATGCTTCATCAAAAGTTGATATACATATTAAATTTTGATGAAGCATGTATATAATTTACTTTTGGAAGGTTTCATAAGATATTTGGCTTATGTAGGAGAGGGATATGTTATTGTGTTTAGTGGTAATTTCCTTTATTTTATTGGCAGTCTTATGTAATCTCTTCAGAGGACGTATTTGACAAGTATATGTGTGTTTATTTTGAACAAGCATTTAGGAAAATTGATTGTGAGGACGCAATGTATTGATTGTTCAGCAATAGGCCAAGGCTCTGGCTCTTGTCAAATAGCATTTTAAGGGGGTTAAACGCTTTTCCCCATCTTATCCGCCATTTTCAACAATAGATCATAATTTATTCTTAAAAGGCATGGAAACTTTGGAATAAGGTAAAATACATATACATATTGATTTATTACGTAACCAATCTCCTGGCCTTGAGTGGAGCCGTTGCTTGCAAAAGGACACACCCTCCACACCCTATACAGACGGACGCCAAGTTCACAACCTCATTTCTTTAAATGTAATAAACCCAGACGCTAAAACCTTTACTAATACCAACTTCTCTAGTTGATAACGTATATAACTGTACCTACTTACTGTATATTTACTTCAGTACTGTATGTAGAAATATGCATCCAATTAAGGGACATCATAAGACCAATCAAACAATCAGAAAGGAGTTATGCTGTGTATATTGATGTTGATACACGTCTCATAAGATTTTATTTATCATCCCAAGATAACTATGGCCGTTATCGTAACAGAAATATTAATACATGAATACATATACAGATACGCATATACATCAGTTCATAATTTTAAAATGACACAAGAGAGGAAATTTCACACAAATAAGCCACAGTTGCTATTCTTGAAAATATGAAAACTGATGTTTGTCTAGCCTTCTTACTGCTCTTGAATCGTTCCTCGGTAGTGATGCGGAGATGGAGGGCTGTGAGGGAAAGACACTGAGTTTCAGGACATATAATACCACACGTATGTTTACTTCTATGTCTATCTCTCTGTCTCTTTCTCTCTGTTTAACTATCTACCGGTCTTTTAGCTGTCTGTGTCTCTATCTCCATGTGTATGGATGTATTTTCGCCACGCGCGTGAATGTGTGTGTTTGTGTGTGTGTGTGTGTGTGTGTGTGTGTG